TCGGGCCCTTTGAAGGTTTCTGATTCATATCTAAGCACGTACGATACCATAAAAAGAAATAACATTCCGATATTCTAGATCACGTTTCTTTATGCATTGTTTCCCTTTTCCAAAAACATAAGATTTTCCTTCGGAAGACCCTGGTAGGTGGACCCTCCTACTATTGGCCAATAAGTCCCATTTAGGTTCTTCCCTCTCTAAAGGAGTGTAACTAACTTATGTATAAAAACCCGTGAAATAATGTAAGAAGCGTTTTGTCCATTAAGTACTCTTGCCTGTAATACACATTGTCTGTTATACATCATACATTTATACACTCCACAACGAATAATTGTAATATAGTCGCCAAGACTCAAGTTAATAAATCATTATTGACTAAAGAAGTGCCTTTAGTATCCTACAAAACCACCCACACTGTATTAATGTACCGTCGTGAGACTTTCCGTACAAACTCGAGTATAATTGCAACTTAAAAACTGTACGTTAGTTTTGAAACGGATTCGCGTCAGCATAACATATAGTGCGCGCGAACAATCAGAGTTAAAAGGGAGAAGAGAAAAAAGAAGAGATAGTTCGAGTATAGGTTGATACTCACGAAAATCGTTCGCTTGAGTTTGCAATATTAAAAACCATCCTTACCTCTCACTCTTACCCCCTTACGCTTCACCTTTATCCATCGATCTGTTTCGCTCATGCTTGCTGGTTCAAATTGAACCAGCCTGAATTCATGAGATTTCTTTTCTCCAAGTTTCCAACGAGTGGTCTCGAGAAGTTTCGGTGTTAAACTTTCGAATTCGCAATTGGTAAATTTTCTTTCTTTCTCCTTCTATTTCTTTTTCTTTCTATCTTTCTCTCACTCTCTGTCTATCTGTCTTTGTTCCTCTTTCTTTTCTCTGTTTCGTACCTTACTGCGAAATAAAGTAATCCTTGGTTCAGGACCATAACGTTTTTGCGAATAGTAGCGGATTATAAATGAGTGGACGTAGCAAAAGTTGCATTTTCATAGTCTTCGGCTACATCTACTTTCTTCTTACGACAATTAAGTAGCATTTGGAAAGTCATTAGTTAAATATTGTGCCATTTTGATGGGCTTTTGTTAACATTCGTTCTACTAATTGACATCATGTTAAGAATAAGAAGAAACATTTCGCGTTTCGAAACAAAGGACGTCGTTGCTCCATCGATAATTATTACGAGTTGTTTAATATCGAATTTTCTTCGATAAAAAGAATAATACGTACTTGTTTTGATTTTCGAGGATAATTCGTGGGTGAAAGCAAAAGAATTCTATTTGTATTTATATTTTTTTTCTTTTATTCTTTTCTAACATAAGATATGAACTTGAAAAGAGCTGCATAGTAAACCGTGTGCCCGGTAAAGCGAATTATTTTCAAAGGCAAGTTTTCTTCTGAAAGGATGAAAATACCAACGGGAACATCAACGTCCGAAGGAAAACCTCATTAGCATAAATAGAACGTACGCGGACGTATAACGGCCAACAAGCGGAACAATTTCCGTAGCAGAGAAAAGCTCCTAGAGGATCCACGGGACGTCACAAAATGGACATTTGAAGTCGCACTGAGAACATTTGTGGAACGTGTTTTAGAGATCAGAATGAAACGTAGTAGGAACCTTTTACAAGGCCTGATTTTTCGCCCTACTAATAATACTTAAACGGGGAGAAGACAAATGTGTTGCCACAAGAACGTTCCACGCAATTACGTTCTTTTCGTTTTTAGTAAGATATCGTTCTTGTAATTTTTCCCCTATTATTTTTCTACCTATATCTTTCCTTTTTTTATTCTTTTTGCCTTTTTTTCTCCTTCTTTTTTTTTATCTTTAATGTCCGAGGGAGAAACGATTATTTCATTCCTATCGTTTTCAGAAGAAATATCTTGCGTAGCTCGCAGCGGTATTGAAACAACGAATTGATATCGCAATCTTTTGAAGAAAAAAAAGAGATAGAGAAAAAAAGACAAAGAAACAAATAAAGAAAGAAGACTCTCGCCAACCGATTACCTACACGATACGTGTACCTCTTCGTTGTCTTTCCCTTCGAGGTCGTCCAACGGAGAAAACTTCGCATAAAAGGGAACAGGGATAGATGAACGAAAAGTAGAAAAAAAAGAAAAAGAGAGAGAAAGAGAAAGCAAAATTGCCCTGAAGGTAGTTCTTTACCTGATGGAAACTTGGAAATCCTTTTATTTACTCCAGCCGTGACGGTATCGAACGTGCCTGTCGTTGAGGATACTTTTGAAAGAAAATAAGAAAGAGAAGGAACAAAAAAGAAACGGAAATAGAGATAGAATGGAATGAGGTACATCCTTCCATACACGTTCTTCGAAAGATGTTCGAGAACCCTTTTTGGTGAATCGAGGAACGATAGAAACTTTCGATAACTTCAATCAAATTAATGTGAAAGATATAATTATATTTTGAAACCTAGCATTCTTTCCTTTAACAGACCGATCAATTATTAACTTATTTTATGTCGTGTGAATGTGAAGAGGAAAATAGCAACAGAGATATTAGATAGAAAATAGTAAGTTTAATCTCATAAGCTTTTTTTCTTTTTATATTTAACCTTTTTTCTGTCAAGTCAATTATGATGGTTAGAATCTTTCGATATAACTTTTCGAGCGTTCATTATTTTTCTCTTTTAATCATATCTATGCAACTACTTTTCTCAAAAGTTCAAAATTGCAGAATAAAAATAGACATATAATTTGTAAATCGATCTTATCGTAGACACATTATCACGTATATACTCGCTTCCATTTGCAGGTTCAATGATGTGAGTGGTCGTACACACCGGAGAACGTCAAATGTCAAACATCACAATGGGGTGAATAAGGTTAGTTACCCTTTACTCCTAACGCTGCATTAACTGGAGCGTTTGCACGAACGAACGATGTTACACTAGCGTGACATGATAATTTCCGGAATCCATTTATTATTGTAGAAAAATATGTTGTATTCGATAACTATTTTTTTGTTCCTTTTTTTTCTTGTATATATGAAGTTATTTGTATATAGAATATACAGAATATTTTATATATAGAAAGAAAGAAGTTACTTGAAATTATTTAAAGAAAAAATCATTTCTTTCACAGCATTAACTCTCCTTTTCTTTTCTTTTTTTTTTAAACTCAATAACTTAGAAAATTCCTGTTCGTTTCTACCCAATATTCTTCTCCTCATTGCAATTACACACTTGGATACTTTAGGGTTTCCTTTCAACGTAGGACACTTCCGTTTCCATCAGACGTGACGTTGTTTACAGAACTCTTCAACTGACCGTATCCGAAAACTCGGCACATTCTCAAAACTTACATGATGAACGTTTCAAGTGAGTCAAACTTGAAGAGACGAGTTTGTCGATTCTTTTTCCTTCTTTTCTTATCTTCGACGTCTGAAAAGTCAAAAAGGGGACAAGGTCGTAATTGCTATTGTTAGAAACGAAACTTGACTTTTATGTTAGTCAATTCTTTTCTCTAAAATTGTGTTTATTTCTATTCCCTTTTTTTTCGAGAATATAACTTTCTCGAGTTTAAAAAAAAAAACAGGGGTAAGTTTAAAGGCGTATAAATCTAATAATAAAATCTTAGTATCTTAGTTAAAACTATCTTCGATATGACATTTTTGACTATAAAAAAAGGAATAAACTAGGAAATAAAGAGTAATCGCAGAAGAAACACATTTATCGCATCTAACGTGATTGACCAAATACAGAGTAAAAGGAAAAGTTAAAATAAATAGTAGAAAAATTATATATTATCTGTTATGACCAAAAGATTCTTCAATGAAAATTCCTCTGATCATTAATTGTATGCTATGAAGTGGAGAATAAAGGATTAGGTTAAGGTGTAAAATAAAACACGTGATTGAGCCAAACAAAGAAACAATGCCTTTTTTATTGGCTCGTCAGGGAAAAGCCTTGCGGCATAAAAACCCTGGATGATGTTTAATTATA